ATTATGAAGATCTGTCACTCAACCGTAGCAAAGCCATTGAGAAATTGCAAAACTTGAAGAATAATGATTGGATTACAGGAAGAACAAGTGCCATTTTCCTTGACTTAATTGTCTATAATGCAAATGCCGATGCAATCTTCATTGTGAAGTAAGTTCTCACTTTCATATTCTTCTATTTTTCGCAGATATTTATATTTTCTATATAAATTACTTTGCCATCAAGAGAGTCCAGGAGAATCACGCGGGGCTGGAAATGAATGATCTGAAATCAGGTGTTGTCTGCATCACTTTACTTGGCATCTGCTCTCAATAATAGTGATTTTGGTACAGATTAATATTGGGAAGCCTGAGGAGAAGAAACCGGTGGGAAGACCTAGATGTAGATGCGAGGATAATGTCAGGCAGTATCCATGGGTGATAGGAGTTGAAGTAGACTGTATTTTGTTGGCCCAGGACAGGGACCAATGGAGGACTTTAGTTAATTCGGTGATGAACTTTCGGGTTCGGTCAGCCATCTTGTTAGTTAGTTACTATAGCCCAATTCACAAAATGCTTCTTGACTGGTATATTGTTGTCCCATTGCTACACATGTGTGGTGGTTACACTGCATTTATCAATGAAGAATGTTATTTTGGACAGTAGCATTTATCAAGGTATGCAAAAAGCATGTCATACAAACTTTATTCCTTCGTGGACACAATTCTGCTATAAGCCAAGTTAAATGACACAGACTGGAAATGGTAATTAAGTTAATTTGGGTGATAATATTAATATCAAGACAAATCACATGTAGGCTGTTTATAGGCTAACAAAGGAACTAGTCTACAAGTCAATATAAATACAAATAAAACTGAGACATAAAAAATGTGCAACACATTCACAATTAAGTACAATATATTTAACATTAACCATTTAATGCATCCTTTCAATAGACTGCATAACAGGACGATCATGCATATCCACGTATTAAAACCAGATATCTGGCAAATTCAATTTAAATTTGTATCACATTATGTAACTTCTGTTTTTCATGTTGATCATGTCACATTCTATATCGCATTTCCAAATGGCTCACTGAACATAAATAATGACACAGAACATAAAATACAGATTCATTCTGATCTACAGATTTAATTTGTAACATTTTTAAATACAGTAAATATTTAATTAAATACAAGTTAAAATAAATTATGACTATATAATGTGACATCTGTGGTGTGGAATTTCCTGCAATACGAGTAGATCTCCATGAATGAACATCTAGAACAGTGAGCTGCTACTGTATTCCTAAGAATAATCAGCTCCATGAAACGAAGTCTCTCTTGATAAGCGAAAAGTTTCTTAACTACTAAAGAAATTCCCTGTCATATACGGTAAACTGTGTAATTATCATTCTTTAATTTATCTTAAGTTCCGTATTAAATGTGGACCTAAATACATGCATGAGCATTATAAGCAAAAGGTATCTTGTTAGTGACACCCAAGAGTACAGCTTAACCAATTGGTGATTACTGAAATTCCTTATGTCTTTATTAACAGGCTTCTTATTGAGAACACACCAAGACTAGGAATCTGCACATCTTACTACCGCGAGACAGTGAAGCTCCATCAAGTTGTGACCGCCTATCAGTACTTTTTCGCAGTCTGTGAATGGCTGTTCTTAGCATACTTTCTTTTCGGCATCATAAAATGGATAGCTTTTTGTGTGGTCGCAAACAGCGAAAGCAAGGTTTCTGGATTTGAAATGTTCAATTTTTTCATTCTTCCGGTAAGATTCTCTACTCTGCCTTAAGATAATATACAGATTGAATGAAAGTAGTATTGCCTTGAACCAGTTTATATTGACATTAATATTTAAGATACAAGAATCATATTTCTAAGACGCTCATTGGTGTTTGAAAGACGTGATTTGCAAACTACGTAAGACTCCTGTTCTGATATTAAAGATGTCACTTTCTTTCCATGGTCTCTCACTCTGAGGGAAGAAAACAGATTTCAGGCGTTTGAGAAAAGGGAACTGGGAAAAAGTTGAAGGGGACTGAATTAGTTGTTAAACATAGAATAAATAGGCATTTGCTACTTCCTGTGTGGTTTCTGTTCATTTTTAAGTTACTCATGCAATTGGACCATTTAAATAACAATTAAATAACCCACAGAGTACCTTTTAATGGTCTATTTTGTTTCAATGCAGTCTAATGAACTTCATTCTTTTGGTGTTTGTAGTTCTATGCTTGTGTTCTTTGTTTCCCAGAGTGGCTGTGCTGTTATATGCTTGCGAATCTTTGGCTTTGTGGTTAATGAACCACAAATAAAACAAAATATTTCAGAGGAGAAGTTGGGAAACCTTGACTCATCTGACTGGTATCAATTAGTTTACGAAGTTTTAACTATTCTTCTCTTACAATCATCTTGGCCCCGAATTTTCAAATACACCAGTTTCAAAAACGCCTCGTCGCTTTTCAAGGTAAGTGAATATCTAATTTTGTTATTCTGCAGTTTTGGTACGATTTCTAATTGATGCTGATTTATAAAGTTGGTACCAGATTCTAATGAGATGATGTTGATGTAACTTCATAAACAAAATGGTATTTAATGCCTTTCCTTCTTATTTTACAGCACTGGAAGGAGATTACTGCAATTTCAGTTGTCATCATCATTATTTTAGTCACATGCCTT